CTCTTTGTTAGAGTTCTCATACAAGTGGTCAATGGTGCTCTATATCTTGGTGGTGCTGATAGCCTCCTTCAAATTATGCAGGAAAAATTCCCTGAACTGGGATTGACACGGCAAGATTGCAATGAGACAACCTGGATCCAGTCTGTGGTTACTAATGGCCTTTTCCCAAGTAACTCAACTCCTGAAATTCTACTTCAACGAGAGAATATTCTCAGAAACTATTTCAAAGGAAAATCAGACTACGTTAAAGAACCCATTCGTGAAACAGTTCTTGGGGGACTATGGAAAAGGTTATTGGAAGAAGATAACCCAATAATGCTATGGAGTCCGTACGGTGGAATAATGAGCAGGATTTCAGAATCCGAAACTCCTTTCCCTCACAGAAAGGGTAACATATTCGAAATCTCTTATTTGTCTGGCTGGCAAGATGGTGATAACAAGAATGCAACAAAGCATATTGAATGGATTAGGAGGCTATACGATTACATGGCTCCATATGTTTCAAAGAACCCCAGAGGTGCGTATGTTAATTACAGGGATTTTGATCTGGGGATGAACAAGAAAAGTAACACAAATTTCAACGAAGCCAGAGTGTGGGGCGAGAAGTATTTCAAAGATAACTTCAAGAGACTGGTGAGAGTAAAAACCAAAGTTGATCCTCATAACTTCTTTAGGCATGAGCAGAGCATTCCACCTCTTCAATGATTGGATATTGGACCAATTCGTGATTAAAAATTGTATTAAATCGTTAACCCAAGAGAATATCCAATGTTAAAGGCATAATAAAATAAAGCATGATAATTTATTTCATTTGTCTTCATGTATTATCTTATCTCAACAAATATGACTTCTTTTTTCTTTCTTTTGGCGTGTTAAATGAATGTATATCTACTTGAACCCACAAGTTAAAAACCATTGCATTACTCTAACAAGTTATCTGTCTAAATCATATGACTCTGTTAGCCTAATAATTCAAAGAGTAAACGACATATTCCCTCCCAAGATTTAGCGGAATCCAGGTTAATATCCTTGGTTTAGTAAATTCCAGATTCACACCTTTAAATGGATACCCTTTTCTTTTTTTTTTTTAATAGTTAAAGGATAAATTGGTCATTTCAAATTAAATTAAAAAATCAAAATAACCCTCACATCTCAAATTTGCGCCCTGCATTTTTGGGCAACTCCCCTTCTTCTTAACCAGTTTCTGGGCATTTTTGTCATTGGAAATCTACACCACCACCACCGTTCGATCCCTCATCATCTTCTCTTCAAAACTAGGCATGGCAATGGGGTGGGCCAGCGGGGCGGGAATCTCATTCACCGCACCCATCCTCGCCATCAAAATCACTCCCCGCCCCCGCCCTATCCCCATTATGGGGATGACAGAAATTCTCCTTCCCCTCCCCACAGGGGAATGTTGAAGGCCCATCCCCACCCTATTAATTTTACATATAAATTAATTTGAGCATTATCAAATACAATCGTTAATTATTGTCCACATGACAAACACTTAAATTACTCATTTAAACATAGTTAATTTTACATAAATAAGGATTTGGGTTTGTTCTTGTTCAATTGTTTAGGGTGAGGGAAATTGGGAAAATATGTGTTTATATAGGTAGGATAATTGTGTAATTAGGTGAAATATAGGGGTATTAGTGAAAAGTATATATATATATATAATTTTTAATTTTATATATTATATACGGGGGGAAGACATCACCCACCCCCAGGGACGAGGATTAAAATGCCCCCACCCCCGCTCCCTAAAAAACCTGGGCTTCCCCACCTCATATGGGCCAAGGCGGGACGGGTCCCCTGAATTCCGGGGAACATTGCCATGCCTATTCAAAACCCATATCACCATGTTGCTTGATCACTCACCGTTTGCTAGAAAAGCCCACAGCTTTTTTGTGCAAATGGCCACTTTGCAGCCGCTTTTCTGGTTGTGCTGGCGTGCGCACTAGATGCAAGCAGGTAGGTGGCTGGGGATTTTCAGCGAGCAAGTGGTGGGCAAGATTTTAGGCTCCAAAATTCGACAATCGAGATGTCGACAACTGCCAAAAAACACACCACCACAAACAACAACAAACAAAGATGCAAGCGATTTAAATGGTTGGGCCTGGTTGCTCACCAATCAGTAAATAAAAAAGTTGGGAAGTTACCCAACTTTCCAAGGAGGCAAGAGGGGTGGTCGGAAACGTTGAGTGATGACAAGTGGTGTTATGGTTTTTGTAAAGGAGGTTGTGGGGAGTCCAATAGTGGTCACAAAAATTATTTTGGAGGTCGAGATTGGTCGAAAAAGCCAAAAAAACATTGGCTTGGACGACGCTAACATGAGTCGTTTCTGGCTAACGTGAGCCTGCCTACAAAAATTGGGAGAAAATTTGTTATTTGTGCAAAAAAAGCATTGGGCTTTTCCGGTAAACGGTGAGTGATCTAGCGACAAAGTGTGTGGGTTTTGAAGAGAAGATAATGAATGATCGAATGGTGGTGTTGGTGTAGATTTTTTATGACAAAATCGCCCGAAAATTGGTCGAGAAAAAGGAGAGTCGTCCAAAAATATAGGTCACAATTTTGACATGTGTGGGTTGTTTTGACTTTTTAATTTATTTTGAAATGATCAATTTAACCTTTAACAATTTATTAAAAAAATGTCCATTTAAAGGTGGGAATCTAGAATTTTTTAAACCAATGGTACTACTTTAGGATTTCACTAAACCTTGGGTGGGAACAATAAGCAATCTTGCCTTGTCTAATACTTTGATATATTTGCTGGAAATGCGTCGGCTTTTCTTGACAGATTTTTTTTTTTTTTTTTTTTTTTTTCCAGAGAGCTTAGCTGTCACACCTTCAAAATTCATTGTTGACATATATGTTCGGGACAAGTTTTGTTTCTTTCGTAATACCTTCTTATTCTTGTTTCATTATTTAATTTGTATTATTATTATTATTATTCTGCAGGTGGTTGAAACTCTTTTGGAGGATGTCAAAATCTTCTTACTTTACGAAAACATATTTATTCCATGAATCCAAATATAGAGATCTCATATTTCTTGAATTTGAATCTCACATTTCTTGAATTTGAATTTTGTTACCTTATGAATCAATATTTGATTTTATCTTTGATAAACCCTTGTATAAATTCATAATTCTTTTACCTTCCGATCCAATTCCAACACAACACAATACAAATCCAAACTAAATTCGGCCAACACAAATATTGGAGTTAGTCACATGCAATTTTCGGACCAAGACAATAGAAACACTTCAAGCATAAAGGATTACTCCACCAACTTGAATTGATTCACCACAAAATCTTCTTATCAAGACTTGGATAAAGAATGCGCACCCAAGAACAAACAAGTTCTCTCAAATGGATAAACTAAATTTCATAAACTAAATGTTACACCCTTATATAGGCAAATACAAGGACAAACAAGTAATTGATGAATACATTAAAATGAAATAAAATTAACTAATATTACAAGTCATTCATTCAAAAAGCAAGGTCATACCTATTTAATGCAAAAGAGACATGATTCCCTAATTCTATATCTATGTCTTTAACCACCCCTTTAGTTGAAATAAGCTCACTTTATTATATCAAAATTTGACTAATGATCCTAATTAAGTCTACTAATAAGGGTGTAAGAGTTTGGGCCTTGAAAACCTTGCAAATGAATCCAATAAAGGTTCATGTGAATCTTCCCCTTTGGAATGAGACTTGGGCCGGATTGGACAACTTCAACAATTAGGCTTCTTTCTTTGTGAGCTTGAGTTTCCCTTGTTGAGCTTGAGTTTCCCTTGTTGAGCTTGGGCTTGGAATGGTTTGGGCCGAAATGTTTGGACTTTCTCCCTCCTTGGAACTTGCTTGGGCTAAATTTTATCCATTGTATTCCACAATCCAAGTGTTTTAAGACTTAGATTGAAATTCTTCAATCCATTTCAATCCAACCGAATTAGCAAGTGTTTTAGAACTTGTAATTCCTTGTCCACTCATGTTTACAAGTGTGTTAGGACTTGTAGACGTATCACCTTCGGTAATTCGGAATTGTCTTTCATGAAATCCCTTTTGAAAATAACTATTAATTACTATAATATGCAATAGATATTAGCTAATAACGACAATATAAGATTTTAGAGTGGAGCCATTGGTATCCCACTAATAAACTAAAAAAGCTCCATTTCTTAAGACACCCAATTTCAAAGTTTTAAAATTAAATAGTTTTCGTATAACACCCTATAAATTCCATGAATGCCCTTCATTCCAATTTTTTATATATATTTCTAAAAAGTTAATATTTCATTCTCTTCAATTATACTATATACCCCTACCATCATTATTTTTAAAATAAAATTTTAGATAACTAAATGACAGTTGAAAAAAAAAAAAAATTAAAGCTAAAAAAAATCCTTAAAACCCCTAAAAACATAATACAGTTAAACAAAACTTAAAAATACATAAATTAAAATATCTACCAATATTTAGAAGAAAAAAATTATAAATTTATATGTGAAGCAATTAAATTTATATGATATTTTTGTTGATGATATATACTTGTTGAAGTTAGAAAATGATGTGATAACTGATGTTATTTCAATTACATGTGTATTTTGACTAGTCTTGTTTATGTTTTTCTTCAATAAAGATCTTGAGGATACTATATATGCTTTGAATATTTTATTAATTTCAATGAGTTTGAAATGTTATTCTTCTCAATCCATTTAAATAATCCTTACCTATACTTCAACTACTTACATATTTGATTTTTATGTATCACAGTCTACATATATATTATGGTAGATGAGAATGAGATAATCACCTAATTGGTGCCATTTCCAAATTAAAGTGCATAATATAGTCATCAATCAAGTATCCAATCTGTGAAGTTATTGTTGCTTCACTATTAGAATATAATTATCTCAAGTTATTAAGACATATATCTGCTTTTCTTATTATATACTCTACTCTCAACTATTATTCAGCACCTGCAAAAATGAAATCTTCATGCTATTACTTTCTTTTATATCTTCCACTCCTGTTTTCATTTACAATTTCAATTCCAACTCCAGACAGTTTTCTGCATTGCCTTTCTGTCATTTCTGAGCTTTCTGTCCCTTCTTCCATTCTTTATGTCTCAAACACTTCTTCTTATTCTTCAGTCCTTCTATCAACTGCTCAAAACCTCAGGTTTACAGGGCCTTCAGTACGAAAGCCTGAGTTTATCTTCACGCCTTTGAATGAATCCCATGTCCAAGCAGCCGTTATTTGCTCCAAACACTTTGGAATTCATATGAGAATTCGAAGCGGAGGCCATGACTATGAGGCGGTCTCGTATGTATCAGAAATTGAAACACCTTTCATTGTTGTAGACCTTTCCAAGCTTCGATCCATAAGCATCGATATTGATAATAACAACGCGTGGGTTGAGGCAGGTGCAACAATTGGTGAAGTCTACTACAGAATTGCGGAGAAGAGCAAAATTCATGGTTTTCCTGCGGGTGCTTGCACGAGCTTAGGCGTTGGTGGGCACATCACTGGAGGTGCTTATGGTTTCTTGTTAAGAAAATATGGTCTTGGTGCTGACAATGTCCTCGATGCTAAAATTGTAGACGCAAGCGGCAGAGTTCTTGACCGAGCAGCTATGGGTGAAGATCTGTTTTGGGCAATAAGTGGAGGCGGAGGAGGAAGCTTTGGAATTATCCTTTCATGGAAGATAAAATTGGTTCCTGTGCCATCAACTGTGACAATTTTTACAGTTACAAGGACCCTAGAACAGGGTGCCACGAAGATCCTCTATAAATGGCAACAAGTTGCACATACGCTTGATGAGGATCTCTTTGTTAGAGTTCTCATACAAGTGGTCAATGGTGCTCTATATCTTGGTGGTGCTGATAGCCTCCTTCAAATTATGCAGGAAAAATTCCCTGAACTGGGATTGACACGGCAAGATTGCAATGAGACAACCTGGATCCAGTCTGTGGTTACTAATGGCCTTTTCCCAAGTAACTCGACTCCTGAAATTCTACTTCAACGAGAGAATATTCTCAGAAACTATTTCAAAGGAAAATCAGACTACGTTAAGGAACCCATTCGTGAAACAGTTCTTGGGGGACTATGGAAAAGGTTATTGGAAGAAGATAACCCAATAATGCTATGGAGTCCGTACGGTGGAATAATGAGCAGGATTTCAGAATCCGAAACTCCTTTCCCTCACAGAAAGGGTAACATATTTGAAATCGCTTATTCGTCTGGCTGGCAAGATGGTGATATTAAGAATGCAACAAAGCATATTGAATGGATTAGGAGGCTATACGATTACATGGCTCCATATGTTTCAAAGAACCCCAGAGGGGCGTATGTTAATTACAGGGATTTTGATTTGGGAATGAATAAGAAGTGTAACACAAATTTTAACGCAGCCAGAGTGTGGGGCGAGAAGTATTTCAAAGGTAACTTCAAGAGACTGATGAAAGTGAAAACCAAAGCTGATCCTCATAATTTCTTTAGGCATGAGCAGAGCATTCCACCTCTTCCATGATGGGATATTGGACCACTTCTATTAAATGGTTAACCCAAAGAATATCCAATGTTAAAGGTAATAATAAAATAATCACTTGTAAATGTTACCAGCATCATGCTTATGTAACAAAAATAACAAAAACCTGGTGCAGTGTTGTTATGTCCTCGGATAGTGTCAAATAATTATAATTAATGTTTCCGATTCATAAAATAATGGCTAAATTATAGTTCATTGTGACATATCTCTGTATCAACTGACTAACCCACTAAACTTTTTTTATTTTTTTCCTGATCAGGGTGTTCAGGTTAGGTTACATGTACTTTAATTAATTTTTAGGGTCTACTAAATATCCTATAAACTTAATGTTTTAAGGTAAATCATAACTATGATAAGTAATTTACCCTATGATAAGTAGCTGTAAGGTAATTTGGATCCAGAAAATCAATAAAGATCACAATAATAACAAGTGATAAGTATTAGTGAATAGTCATACATCACTTTAAATTTATTTCATTTGTCTTCATGTATGATCTTATCTCAGCAAATTTGACCTCTTTTTCTCTTTCTTTTGGTGTGTTAAATGTGGATGTACTTGAACCCACAATTCAAAATCCATTAAGTTATTTCAGTAGTGATCTGTCTAAATCATATGACTTTGTTAACCTTGAATAATTCAAAATAATACCAAGAAGCAATCTTGTCTCCTCTAACCTTTGATATAATTGTTGGAAAGGAATAAAATCCTTAAGTGCGTCGAGTTTTATCCTTCATAATTCGTTCTTGACATATATTTTCTTTTTTTCTTTTTTTCTTTTTTTCTTTTTATCACCAAGGTGTCTACGCTAGCTTACTCACACTTCAACTAATCATCCGAAACCTTGAAACTATCAACTAGATAAGAACACCAATATGGAAGGATTCAAACTCAAGAGCTTATCAAAGCTCATTTTACCATCATGCCAACCTAATGGTGATTAAAAAAAAAAAAAATTTTTAATAATTGAGGCATTTGGGCACAATTGCCAACAAATATGGTATGTGCTAGGTACCTATCCTATGACTCGAAACACAAGCTCCTTGTGTATAAATAACCTTAGTGACTAAAAGGCTTACCGCCGGACGAGAAGGAGAGAGGTTCTTGACATATATTTTCAGGATAATAAATTTTTTTTTTCGATTCTTGTTTAATTATTAATTTCTTTTTATTTGTATTATTATTATTATTATGCAGGTGGTTGAAACTCTTTTGGAGGATGTCAAAATCTTCTTACTTTACGGATACATAATTATTCCATGAATCCAAATTTAGAGATCTCATATTTCTTGAGTTTAAATTTTGTTACCTTATGAATCAATATTTGATATTTTCTTTGATAAACCCTTCTATAAATTCATAATTATTTTACCTTCGATAATTCGGAATCGTCTTTCATGAAATCAATTTGAAAATAACTATCAATTACTATAGACTATAGTACGCAATAGATATTAGTTAATAAAGCTACTTCAAACCCCTAAAGTTTTATAAGACTCTTTTGAGATCAAACTCCATTCACACACACACGAGGTAAAAGAAATTGATTTAAATTTATAAGTTTAATAAAAATGAAAAAGCAAAATTTTCATATAACTTATGATCACCATTGGCTTAAATTTGGTAGCTTCAGCCCTCGTTAGAACAATAACTTACAATAAATAAAACAACCTACATACAATATTGCGTTTGTGAAGAATGAAAATGCCGAGTAGGTCTTGATTTATATGAAACTCCATTTTTGCCTCAGGAGGCCCATTTGGAACGTGGATTAGACCATGGGGTTCATCATTGCACCGCCTCTGCCTTAACCCAAGCCCACCAATGGTTTGTTCAAGGATCTTCATTTGAGAAACAAGGATTACCATTCATAATTCAAATTGATATTGACAGAGGATGAATCAAAAAGTCAAATCTGCCATAGCATCTCAAATTCTACTTTCAATAGATTCCATATATTTTGAGGCTGAATTCAAAAAGAAATTTGTGTCCAGGAGAATTAATTCATTTGATACTATTATATGTAGCAGCAATATTATTCATTTTTTTTTTTTATGATTAGGTTGTATGCTAGATTATGTACAACTTATTAATCATTCACACTAAATAATCTGTAACTACATGTTAATATTTGATAATGACTCTAACTCAGATTCTTGATATTATTCATTCTTACTGCTTCAACAATTCTTTTCTTTTTATTATTTCTAGTCACATATAAATTAAATTCGATCTTTATTTTCACTACCAAGAATTCATCATCATATGAATTATTATTGAAAATAACTTGAATTAGGAAGTGCTCCGATTCGATCCCCATGGCTACCGTTTCAATGGAAAGAGTGGAATGCTCTGCTCATGCCTGAAGAAGTTATGAGGATCACCTTTGGTCTTCACTCTTACCAATCTCTTAAAGGTTGCCTTTAAATACTTCTCACCCCACACTCTAGCTTCATGAAACTGGTATTACTCTTCTTGTTTACGCCCAAATCAGATCTCTGTAATTCACATATGCACCTCGGGGTACTTGGAAACTAAGAGCCATGTACTCGTATAGCCTCCTAATCCACTCAATGTGCTTCGTCGCATTCCTTGTATCTCCGCGTCCCAGCTGGAAGAATAACCATTTGGAATGTGTTCCTTTTCTATGGGAAAGGATTTTCAGACTCTGAAATCTTGCTCATTCTTCCACGTACGGGTTCCATATCATTCTGGATTATCTTCTTCCATTAACCTTTTCCACAGCCCTCAAGTGCGGCTTCCAGAATGGGTTCTTTAACAAGTCCGATTTGCCTTTGAAATAGTTCTTTGAAGTATTCCCTCGCCGGGTAGAATTTCAGGAGTTGAGTTTCCAGGAATACGTAATCAACCACAGACTTAATCCAGGTCTTTCTTTTGCAATCTTGCTGTGTCAAACCCAATTCAGGAACCTTTCCTGCATAATTTGAAGAGGCTATCAACACCACCAAGGTACAGGCACCGTATAAGGTTAATACAGTTCTCTCGCCATTTTGGCAATATTGCCGGTGCTATGAGTACATTAAGAAAGAGATTTTCATCAAGCGTATGTGCAACTTGTTGCCTTTATAGAGGATCTTTGTTGCACCTTGTTCTAGGCTCCTTGCAACTATAAGTTGTCACAGTTGGGGCACTGGAACCAATTTTCTTCCATGAAACTATATTCCAAAGCTTCCCCTCACCCCTCTTATTGCCCAAAACGATCTTCCCCCACACGATCAAGAATTCTGCCTTTAGCGTCCATTTTTGGCATCAAGGACATTGTCGACACCAAACCATATTTTCTTAACAACATACCTCCGGCTTGTACAAATACCAGCGGGAAGGCATGAATTTTGCTTTCTCCCGCAATTCTGTAGTAGACTCACCATTGTTGCACCAGCCTCACCCAGGCACGTATACACTGTTACATTAATATCAATACTAAGGATCGAAGATTGGCGAGGTCATACAATGAAGGTGTTTCAATTTCGGATACATAAGAGACCCCCTCATAGTCATGGCTTCCGCTTCGGATTCTCAAATGAATTCCAAGCTGTTTGGAGCAATAAAACGGCTGCTTGGAATGGGATCACTCAAGCGTGAAGATAAACTCAGGCTTTGTATTGAAGGCCCTGTAAACCTGAGGTTTTGAGCTGTAGATAGAAGGAGAGATATGAAGAAGTGTTTGAGACGTAAAGAATGAAGAAGGGACAAAAGCTCAATTGGCAGAGAGGCAATGCAAAAAATGTTTTGAATTGGACTTGAAATTGTAATGAAAACTGGAGGGGAAGTAATAAAAGACTAATAGCAGAAAGCCATCATTTTATTTCAATTTTTTTTTTTTTTTTTTTTTGTTTGTTTTCCTGTTCATCAATTGAGAGTTGAGTTATGGTATATATAGGGATTACTGCATATTTGAGATATAGATTAATCCTGAAAAATGGTTTTTGACTATTGTTAAATTAAAACAGAGTTGGAGAATTTTATGATCATTTAAAAGAATACCATATCGGAGTAAGTTCTCGGATTTTCCAGCGGTGTTCGTAATCGTAGCCGTAAGTTTTATCACATTAATTTATGTTATCTTATGATATCATCTCAACTCACTTCAACAAATTCTTATAATATAATAATAGTTATTTGTCTAAATCATGGATGTGTTAGCCTAACATTTCAACAGTCAAAACATTATCGAGCAGCAATCTTACCTAACCATTAGTTTATAAAAAATTATCCGATGAATAGATTATAATTATATGAAACAAAAAAGTCCAATAGATAAATAATTTGAAATAATGAATTTTGAATTCAACTCTTACGGGTAAGAGATTATATCAAGTTATTAAAATAAAAAATATATGCGAGATCATTGGATTCTGAGAAACTAGATAAAAATACATAAATAAATGTCTCACCTTCATAATTATGCTAAAGATTTTGTGGTGGGTATTTATATTTCTACAGGAAAAGTTTTGATTTATTACATAGTATATGCTTCTTATTCTGGTTTTTGCATAATCTGGTTTCTTACTCTTCCCCCAATAGCACGTTTTCCAGGATCTCAGAAAATGTGTAATCTCATGAAAGTTTCAGATTTTCTGATGTTATTGCATGATTTGATTCTTAATTCATTATCTGTAACTGTTGCAGACAAGACTTATCCTGGAAAACTTTTGGTTTCCCATAGGTTCTTTCAAATGAAAGTTTGGTCCTTGAGTGGCTGGCAAATGAATGAGGCCCATGCAATTATGAAAACTCAAGGGCCCATCCTGGCACAATTGGAGCTTTGTATAATTAACGCAGAGTTCCCATTTCTGCCATCTCTTTCCCACGTCTGTGCCACGGGCACTGCCACCAGATGAATTTCCTGGCTTCCTCTTGTTGGAATTTTATATTTTAATTTGTTTTAGAAGGTGAAGTTTAAAATAATTAGCAGAAAGGAAAAGAAACAAAACTGGGAAAAATTCCATTAGTTTATTACCATAGTTAAAGAGATTGACATGCAGAAGAATAGATGGTCCCCCATCTCTTGATCTCCTTAATTAATCTCTCTATACATATAATTATATTATATTTAAGCCAATGAACGCTAATTAACCAGAAACCTCTCAGGGTTTTCTGGATCTTTCATGGAATGGAAAGCTATGTGCAAATTAACTAATTGCTGAAGCTTACAACTAATGATTGTATTTGTGGCTCATTGGCTACTTATTCCTCTCATTAACAACCCGTAAACTAAATATGCACCAACTCTTAAACTTAACACTTTGGGTGTCGGGTGGGCGAGAGAGATCCTTGGGTGGCATAGAGGTTATTGTCATTAATTTTAGGGTCTGGAGATTAGTTGAGAGCACGCAAACTGGTCAGACACTCCTAATGAAAAAAAAAAAAAAAAAACTCTTAAACTTACAAACTTATGGTAGCCCAACGGTATAAATGAGTAAAACTCACAGTTCTAGGTTGATTCCATTATTTACACAAAATACTTTGTCATGATTTACCTAGGGGACTATGGAGGGTCGTTGGGGGATAATTCTTCTGAAATTGTAGATGATGCGTAAGTTGATTCGGTACCTCACTTATTAAAAGAAAAAATATGCACGAACTCTTAAACTTTCAACTACATCTCATGAAATCAAATCTCCATGACTCTTTTAAAGTGTAAAAATGTGAGGTGGGATAGCTCTGTATATTATTTATACGAGAGAATCACAATCAACTATTCCGAAAAATCTGAGTTATTAGGATAAATAATATTCCAAACTTTAAGTGAAAAAAAAAAAATATTCTTTAAAAACTCTTAAAAAAGTATGAAGAGCGAATTTAGTTTCAAATTTTTATTTTAAGAATAGTTCAGAAAAAAACTTATTTATATATGAGGACAGAGTTTTTTCACATTATGAAGATTATATTATATTAACTTACTTTACCGACTTTACCGAAGGAACTAATATTTAATTAGTATCAATGAACATAGGCCCTTAATGAACACTGATGACCTCTTCACACTATATATAGGGAGGAATTTACTTTTCTTCTAACTTTGCACAAAAGCTATTTTATTCCATGATTTTGGGCTAGACACGTCATCTAGAAGCTATAAAATTATAATATCCATTAAAAGAGATAACCATGGAGAAGGATTTGAATGTGCTGAAACACCCTTTATATTGTTTTCTTCAAATGATATAAAGACACTGTATGAATCTTACAAGGAGGATATATTAGCATAATTTAACATGCTAACACACCACCATACATAGTCTAATCTGAATGGGAACTCCAAAAGCAGAAAACCCATAAGCTTTCTTCCTCTCTGTGTGTATATCTTTTTCCCCACTATCAAATCAAGCTTTCTTACTAGATTTTAGTACTTAAACAAGATCCTCAACACTCGTCATACCATCTTTTGATATTTATGTTAATGATGTTACCCATAAATACCATAAATAGGCAATACAAAGCATAAATTGAGTTTAATCAAATTATGCTAATTGCATACAGTCTAAAGGGCCACATGAGCCAAGATAGTCATCAATTTTTCATATTTTAATTACCCTCCAGTACCTAATTGGAATGCTAGAAACTTCTTTATGCTAATTAATTAAGCTCATTAGCATTAAAAAAATTGAACCATGTGACTATGTGGTTAGGCCAACAAATGGTACAAAACTATTGGAGACAAGCCGCTTTCAAGGAAACATCAACAACCCACAATTACTTTTTCTATATCAAGATTTATATGTCGTTCGAATTGAGTTACGGAATCGCCTTGTCGGAATATTGCAAGCTGACGATATGCCGTACAGTGAACCAGGATTAGAAATCCAATGTTGCAAATGATGGGGAAGAATATATCGAAATGAGGTGGTGAGCACCATGAATAACACTTGTAATAAATCTAGAGGAGGATCGGTTTCGAAGAAAGGAACTAAATCAAAGTTGGATTCAAAGATGTGTGTGTGATGGAGCTAGTGATAACGAAATTAGATTGGTATTAAAATAAAAGCTGGGAAGTGAGTGAGTGATTGATATTGAAGAGGAGCATCCATATATAAAGGAAGGTTTATGTTTGAGTTTTGTGTCATTAAATTTCGAGACAAATATTAAGTTATTTACAGCAAGTGAAAGTGAATTATAATGATGGGAATGATGGGTTGGGGAGCAACAGAACAAGGTTGGAGGAAGGGTCCTTGGACTCCTGAAGAAGATAAGCTACTTACTGAGTATGTCAACTTGCATGGAGAAGGAAGATGGAGTTCTGTATCTATGTCTTCAGGTAATTAATTTAATTTAATTAATCATCTCTATGCTAATTAATCTCTGCTTCACTCTTCGTCTTAGATATATAGTTGGTGATTAATATAATTCTTATAGCATCCAGATGAATCAAAAACTGTACTTTTTGGGTGGGAAGAGATCAAAATGGAAGCTTGACATGCTTTACAAATTTAATTATTCGAGCATATGATCCATAATTAGCATCATATACATATAGTTGACAAGAATATTGTTACTTTATGAGTTGTTTTTCACTATTGTTAAAAGGAAGAAACTTGTTGCATGTTATAGGTAGAGAAGAAAAAACAATAGCACTACTGACAGGAGCTAACTGGTCTTTCAGGTAGCCGATAAATAATTCTTATAGCTTCATGAATTAAATATATTTATACTTTTTGAGTGGGAAGATGAGATTAATGGGAAGCTTGACTTGTTTTAATAACTAGCATAATTCTGAGTTGTATTTCATTAATTGTTTTGTGTATATATCTTCAGGTTTGAACAGGAGTGGAAAGAGTTGCAGGCTGAGATGGGTGAATTATCTAAGACCTGGACTTAAGAGAGGGCAATTAACACCTCAGGAAGAAGGGATTATTATTGACCTGCACGGTTTATGGGGTAACAAGTAAAGTATCTTTCTCTTCTTCTCTCACTCACATAAAGATAAAAGTATATATGTGTTTAATTAATTAATTAATGCATATATGAATGTTACAGGTGGTCAACAATTGCAAGATACTTGCCTGGGAGAACAGACAATGAGATAAAGAACTACTGGAGAACCCATTTCAAGAGGAAAGAAAAAGCATCTCAAAAGCAAGAGAAACGAAAGGCTCAACTTCTAAAACAAAAGCAAGAGGCACAACAGCAACAACAACAAGAAGATAACATGAATAAGCTTATGGTCGTCTCACCTCATGCAGATAATAACCATACACGCAATAATGAAAAAAATATCACTGGAGAAGCGCAAGAAAAGCCGCAAACGGTTTTCATACACCCCACTATGGAGTACGATCAGTTCTTGCCGGCTGTTACGTATAATGATTTTTCATCTGGGCCGTCGTCGGATCAGTATATGATAGTAGATGAAGGCCTGTGTGGTGGACTCTGGAACCTTGAGGTTCCATTGCAGCATGGGTACCAAGAAACAAGTAATTGCAACAAGATGGCCATGCAAAATCAGCCAGGGACAGCTTTTGCTTTTGGAGGAGAGGCAAACTATAACTTATACTACAACGAAGGAGGCTATATTTTTTAAGAAGACAAGGAGCAAGCAAAATGTGATCATCAGTAGTTCTTAGTTATGTTTAACTGGCTTTAATTAATATCATGCATGCATATTATAACATTATTTGTATAAGCAAAGAATAAGTTAAGATCGTGTGAAATTTGATAATGAAAGACTTAATTAATGAGCTTTTTGTTTTTATTTCATGCATTATACACGTCACAGCTTCTGTTTTTGGTTTACGTACCCATTAATCTTTTATCCAGCTAGAAGATGTAGGAGGGAAGAGGAAGACGAAGAGAAAACAAAAAAAGAATAATGGTAAAGTGAAGTAAACGCAATCAAGATTGCTTAACTTACGTATGAAACCTAATATTCTAATAACCGGAGAAATGGCATTAATTAAGATTAGGATTAGAATAAGACTTCCAATATGTTTAAAATAAAGTAATATATATCTGACGTTAGCACATGCAGTCATGCAGACGCAAACCCCCAGTCACATACTTCGCTTAATATCAAGTTAGAGCCCAGGCCCAGCCATGTATCAGACCTAGCCCAAGCCCAGAAATCCAAAAAACAAAAAAAGTGGCCCATGCAGGTCTCGAACCTGCGACCTTCGCGTTATTAGCACGACGCTCTAACCAACTGAGCTAATAGGCCACTGATTTTAACTACGGTAAAGTTTTTATAAATTCTAAGTAGCATACGAGATAAGGTTAGCGAGAGGAGCACTTGATAAGGTGGTTAGTGCGGTTGGTTGGTTGGAGGAAGAGGGAAATGGAGGGTTTAACAGCAAGTGAAATAGCAGGGTTTGGTGTAGGTACTCTGCTTTTGTTATCCACTGTTGCTGCTCCTAAACTTGATGCTTTCTTTTCTTCTCAACAGAGAAGGTATTTACATTCTATTTCCTTTATCTCTCTTTCTCTTTTGGCTTCAATAAGAAATAACTTTCTGGTAGCTTATAGATTCTCAGTTTGTGTATGAACCTCTTTAAACATAAGATGTCAATGTTCACTAGTTATTAGCTTCGTATATAACATCATTGGAAACTATTGGCAAATTGGTGATTTTTTGAATGATTGAATTGGTCCATCTGGGTATTGATATTGATGTTTAGTTACTTGTAAAGACAAGACCTTGACTAGCGCTTGAGGGATAAGTGATAGTCTAACATTGAGAATTGAGGGAACAAAATTTGTATACTCATATAGAGAGCTGGTGTTCTGGGTTTTAAAAGTTATGCTTCTTGTCTTGTGAATTGACTGATAAATAATTTACAGAGCAACATGTAATGTATCAATTTTTTTGTGAGAAAAGAGATTTTAGAGCTTAGAATTGCAGGTGATAGGTTTATAGTGCTCTTGGAGTTTTGGCAGTGTACAGAAATCTTATAATTCATAAATTCTGATTTCATTGTATTTCTCACAGCTTTCTGTTACAATCTAATTTATTGCCTTGGCATCTGTAAGTACTATTATGAGAGTTTGTTCTCAATTTTCCAAATTTTACCGTCATTTATGTTTAGTCGAGGGAATTCTACATTGACAACATTGAATGATTGAGGGGGTCTTAGGGTTTATAAGAAAGATGAAACACTCCACCTACCAGGCTAGTTTTTTGAATTGCATATTTGAGTCTCTTTCAAATAGTATCTGAGTCAGACCCAAAGCAGTACAATGTGATGTACTTATCCAAATTTATACACACTCATATAAGGAGGAAGACTAAAAACATGGAATTCCTGGCACTGGAGGCTGGAGCATTGATTGAAATGCTAAACAAGTGTTTATAATGTTTATTATCAAACTAATATTGTCACCATCGTTCTAGATGCCTCCGCGTCTGGATTTTCAACTTGCAGCATATGTGTCAAAAGTGTTGCCTTTTCAGCTTCTTGTTTTCACCGCCACCTATCCTGTGATTATTAGGATCTCTTCCGATCATGGGATCTTTAGATCCAAGATGGGAATTGCAGCTGATTGTCTAGCATTAACTGTAGAACAATATCAATTAAGTTATTTTGCTTTCCAAAATGCAAGTTAGATAAATCCCAACTAGGTTCTTTGCTTTTCCATTCTTTTCAGAAATAATCATGGGGAATGATCTGATAGCTTCACAAAGAGAATCATTTCTGAGTTGCAAAAGAGGTGGAAAGTAAATCTTAAGAAGCTTACTTTGCACAGTTGGAGTAAAAGATTGTTATTAATTTCAACTCCAAATCCATTTCAATCTCTAGTCACTAAATTTGCAATCCTTATTATTTGAGTTTCAAAATGCAGTGCAGAGATGAGCAATTAGTGGCGGAGGGCAGGTGCCAGAGAAAAAGCACCAATTGTGTTTTTCCTATACTCAGCTGCTAATATATATTACTGAGATTTCATCTATAGCTGTATCCAAATTTAAAGGTCACTGAATCATTGATAACATTTTATCATCACGAGACAAGAAAATGAATCCGCATAGCTGACTTGCATTAATTGGGCATCTACAATATTGAATTGAGTTAGTTGGCCTTAGTTAATTGTTGGAGTTGTCGACCACTTCAGCATTACTGGGCCACCAAGACATATTTGGGGGCCCTGTTGCCCGGTGAGCAGGTAGGTGTGCAGGGGGCAGCGCCCCCAGCCCATAGGCCGATAAAAGATTTCCTTAAGTTATTAATTCATTATTGGGTTTGAGTTTACGAATAGAATTCTTTGTAATACTAGGTTTTAGTCTTTTAAACTAGTATAGAAACATACTTTTCTCTTGTAACGAATGATAACAAACAATAAGGTAAATTACATTCATTGTAAACCAGAAGGTGAGGTAGTATTTGCAATAATATTGAGTCAATTAAACGTAACCTGTTAATTGGGTGAATTAGGGTAAAATCGCGCATATTTCTTCTTTCTCTTTACTGTTTGTGGTTTATGTGTTTATTGTTATTTCAGTTCAAAATTGCCAACTATTAGTCTGAACTGTGTTGAAAGAAAGATGTCGATGTTTCAATGTAAACATTTTACTTCCTGGGTTACATGTACATACGGATGTATACTTTATAATAACTGTATGCTTTCCTGTGAAACTCCTTGAAATGCAGTTCTTTAGGAATGTGCAAGAAATGCGGCGATGTGAGGTTGATAGCATGCTCAAGATGTAAAGGAACAGGTTTAGTTAAATCAAATGAACCATTCAATTTCAATTTCATGGATGACTTGTATCCAATTTTAGGTGTTGATGAACCAAAAATAAAGTCAATCGGATGCTCAAAATGTCAAGCTAAAGGTCGCTTCTTCTGCCCGGATTGCTCTAATATACGCCCCCAAGTATGATTCGTCATAGCTAGTCTGTAATATTATTGCTTTCATAATATTGTAATAGTTGATTGACTTTGCGTCCGAATGAGAAACTGTTCTATATCCCAATGCAGAATGCTGCAATTGGTCTTTGATTGTGTGATCTCTCTTCTTGATAAGATGATTCATTATTGACACAAATCAACATCTTCAACATTTAGCATAAAGCAATAACCCCATCCAACCAACCAAACATGGCAAAACCACAATGTATGATTGATAAGAAGCAGCCATGGCAAAGTTTTGACTAAAAATTAGCCAAGCCCATCATCTATCAAGAGTCGTGTTATAATTGAAATGGGTATGCAAAATGTGACCCAAAATCATGGTGGATCTTTTGCTTCAATCAGGTTTTTCCATTAACGGATAGGCAAGAGCTACACGAAAACTGTCACGCTGCCCACCTATTTTTGTCATGTTCCATTGGACTTTGCACCTATACTTTCCCTCCTCCACACACTCACCTTTCTCATTTTCTTAGGATCTAGATTAACCTTTGAATATATGCAATTTCTCTCCCTTTTTTTTTTTTTTTTATCCTTTTTGTTTTTTAATAATAAGGTGTCTAGACCAATTTACTGTATCTCGACTAATCTCAAAGTCTATTGAATATCTTACAAACTTAATATTTTAAAAATAAATCATAAATATAATAAGTAACCTGCGGTTTGAATTCAAAAAGTCAATAATAAAGAGAACAAATCTTTTTAACTGTCAAAACAATCTTTTATTTTTATCTTATTAACATCAAGTTTTATAAATTTTGTATGAATAATAGTGCATGTATCATTTATCAAGTTATACACAACTTCCAATTGAATTATAAATTTAGAAGTATACCAATTATATGTTTTTAATGAGTTTTTTTTTTTTATATATAAAATTTACAACAATTAAAATAAATAATTATACCCATTTAAATAAATCTAATAATAAAAACTTCAAACAAAAATTAAAAAGAAAAAAAGAAAAAAGAACTTTGCAACCAGCAGAGAATAGCTTTTTGGAAACTTGATGTCAATCACAGTCAAATTTAACTTAACCGTACGAAAAAGCATTACATACTAATCAGAAGGGCATACAAGTAAAAGCACACTTTGTCTGCCCAAGCATTAATGTAATAAACAGACTTTTTTCATCACGCGTCCGACAGATGTCACACATCGCAAATTTACCAAGGCGTGGTTACCGTGTCAAATATCTCCACGTGTTGACCAAGGACGGGAACTGTTCAGATTACGCCGCTACAGATGATAAGCCGTAACCTGACATTGTTCACATCACCTAATATTAACTTGACACCTGTCCTGAACAGTGCTGTTTTTGAGGTTTTTTTTCACAGGCATTGAGAACTGAAGAGGTTATCTTATCTTATCTTAAGCACAGTTAGATATTCATGGAACATAAGACGGACTTGTCGTGGAAACACGTGCTCTTTCTATATTTAACTTTTTAACCTTTTTTTAAGTTAATTTTGTAAACTTCTCCACCAACTAATATCTAAAAATTTCCAACTGTTACTTGGATCTTCAGTTACATTTCATCATCCCACAAAGAGGTTCAGAAAATAATATTTAATTTTCCTTTTTCCCCTCATCAATAAGATATTTCCAATTTGACCATGCATATTTTGGGGAAATTTTCAAAATCTACCCCTAAGGTTTTGTTGATACTCAACTTTATGACAACTTATCTATTAATCATCATAAAATACCCCTCATCACTAGGGGTGAAAATGAGCTGAGCCACTCGAGCTCGGCTTGGCATTGGCTCAGGTTCAACTTGAAAATTGTCGAGTCAAGGTCAACATAGGATCAGGGTACAATTCGACTCAATTAAGCTAGAAAAGCTCAGTTAAGTTCGATTAAAACTTAAATTCTAATTTTAGGTACCGATTTCGAGTTCGAACTCGATTCCTCATATTCGATCAGGCTCGAATTCAAACTTGAATTCGGTACTAAAGCAATCGAATTGAGTTCGAGTAGTTAGATACTCAAGTAGCAATCAATAATGTAAACAAATTGCATACACACAAAATTAGCCTACACAAACATTGTCTCTTTCTCAATTGAATTGAAGCCATTAAAGGAAAAATAAAGTCAAGTGTTGTGTCTTATCATCGTGGCCAATTTTGTATTCAAATAATTGATATAAATTAATGGTCCACCACCAACATTCAGAAATATACGTAGCTCTCTTGTGTTTTGGACCACCATGCTTTAATTACCCTTACAAAATTTTGCCTAATTTTGATCTTATAAAATCTTTTTCATTAAATATTTTACCAGTGAAAACTACCTAAGACTGCCGTCATTATTCTCATCAATCAAGCTAACTTTGGCTTCAGCTCTTATGTAGTAAGGTTTTCAATAAGAACCACTATTGGGTGGTCTAATGATTAAAGAATAAAAAAAGATTCTATTAGCTCTTAAGTTTGAGTCTCTTCGGCATTGATAGGGATAGCTACTGAAACTCTCATCCAGTCGACAGTTTTAAGGTTCTAAAGAATTAGTTGATATATGTATAAGCTGATCCGGACACCATGATGATTAAAAAAAAAAAAAAAATCAATAACCAAAATGTACAATCCTCAACGTATGACAATTAGGATGATCAAAAATGCTGCCTTAATTACACTACCTAATTAAGTAAAGATTTTTTGTTATTAAATTGTAGGACAAAAATATGGGTGGAGGAATAATATTATTCGTAAAAACTAAAAAGAGGGAATTGTTCGTAAACTTTGAGATAAGGGCATGTCAAATGTTTCCATGGCTCTTAAGTTAGCTTAGCACCACACATGAAGAATATTGGAGTCATTCACAATTTCAAAAGCATGTAATATACTTCTTTTTACTTGTCATTTGTAGCTTGCATGGCTTCTCCAACAAGCACAAAATTTTCAGAAAAATTAAAATAAAATAAGAGTTAATTAGTACATTGTCATGTAAATTCTACGTAAACTAACTAACTCTTAGGTGACCGAGTGGTGCGATAGATACTCTTGAATGTATTATTCAAAATGTCTTAAGTTCGATTCTCTCATTAATTACTAATAGAAGTGGTCATGACCACTAAAACTCTTATCCAGTCGATAGTTTCATAACCTCTGAGGATTAGTTGAGGTATGTGTAAACCGGCCCAAACACCATTGGTCATAAAAAAAAAAAAAAAAAAAAAATTGTACGTAAACTCTTATATATAATCAATTAATTAATTTTGCATATGTTAACCATAGAATTAAAGATACTTAAAATTTACCTGAATCGACAAGTCTTATATCTCAAGAATGAAGTTGGTGATTAGTAAAAACTAGAAACTCCATTAATGGCTTTGGGTGATTTCTCTTGATCTCGATGTTTCTCGGAAACTTGCCTAAAATTTCATGCTTCATGTTTAAGTACATAACAAAACCAACTTTTAAACAATTAATTAATTAATTATTGCGAAACAATATATAAATTTTATAAATCTATATGGATTTCTCCTTAGAAATAAGAAATGAACTCATATTGTAATTAGATAATGTTGAAGGGGCATCACGGCTAAAATAATTTGAAAATAATAAATATATTTTATAAAGAAAATAAATGAAAAAATTTGCATGATAGAGATGAAAACCAGTGATGTAGCGACGCGTGTGAGCTCCATTTTTAAGGTAGATGACGACGTTCTGATATTTCTCAAGACAACTAGAAATTACTCAAAATTTACAAAAGAGAAAACGCTTATTCCCACGCGCTCCTACATGTCTCGTTTTTACACCGCCCATTTTTCTTTATTTGATATCCTTAATTATTCTTCTTTTATACCCCCACCCCTCAATAACATCAAACGAATATATGCAATATAAGATCTTTGACATTGTTAAGAATATTTTCTAAATATTAAAAAAACTAAAACTAAAAATATTTTTCTTGCAACGATGCTATATGGTAGGATCTATATGGTTAAAGATTTTTTTTTTCGTAATACCGAACGTTATGTGTCCAACATCTAAATTTCGGATTTCTTCTTTTATCTATTTTTTCTTAAACTTTTTAATAATCCAATGACACATGACAATTTTAGTATCCAATGGCCAAGATTTTCTCATTTAATTGTATCTCTCTCAACCATAAGTTATATAGATGTATGAAAGAAGAGGCATACGACACTTTAGAATTATGTACATAGAAAATCGTTACTAAGTTAAAATAATTTATGTAATCAATAAAGAAATTAATTGAGTAAATAAATCTTGATCATCTATTGTCATAAGTGATGCCTTAAGAAACTCTTAAAGGTTTAGATAAATCAATTAAGAGAACCATTCACATCCATGTATTATATATTTATATCATAATACTAATTCGATAACGTTATTAACATTTTTTTTTTATGATCGGAGTGTTCGGGGCTAGCTTAGTGTACTTCAATTAATCCCATGATCGAAATTACCACCGGAAGAGCCTAGTGACTATCCTAATTAGCAATCGAAGAAGACTCGAACTCGCGTTTTCTTGAGTAATACATCCAAAATCTCTGTCGATCCTTGTCACCCAGATATTTTATAACGCTAATTAAATCTTGAATCAAAATTTTTATTTTTCATTTTAAAAATGGTGTAAAGACAATGCTAATAATAAAAAAAAAAAAAATTGATAAATCTTCTTAATTTGAAAAGTAACATTATGAGAAGGATATTTACTTATAATGATTTTAAAAAAAAAAAAAAGGACTAGAAAGGGCGTGAGAGAGACGTGCTGAAAGTGAGAGTGGAAAAAGGGTGGAGTGAGTTTTATGAAATTAGAAAGAGCCCCAACCCTAATACACAATGTCCATTCCATCTCATTAGGGTGAAGAAAGAAGAATCGAAACCTGAGGTTAAAATCACAAAGCAACAAGACAAACCCCATTTACACAAGAAAACTCCTATCTCTACCTAGCTAGGGTTTCCATTTCTCAAAACTTTTTTTTTTCTTTCTTTATAAGGTTTTCACATTTTTAGTTATTTCAGTCCTGATCTTAAAAAGAAAGATCACCTACTTCTTCCCAAGAGAAAGAAATAATTACTTGATTTAAATTAAGTAATTGTTTTAGTGAGTGATTATTA